TATAGCGCACGTCGTATACCGCAACGTATCACCTAAGCGACGTACCAAAATATACCATAAATAAATTTGTTCTTATTATGTAAATATTAAAAAGTACAAGGATTTATTTAAAATTAGTTGATTATTAAAAATTAAATTATACTTTTAATAAAATTATAATAAAATTATAATTTTTAGGATAAACTACATGTTTAGTACCTAAACTAACACTTTTGTTCCGATTTAGTACCTCTATTTTTATTTTTTTTAAAAATCATACCTAACGTTTCATTTTTATTTCATGTTAGTAACCCGACGTTAAAAAGTTAATGGCACAACTGACGTTGTATATTTTATTTAGGTAAATTACATGATTTATCACTCAACTATCTTCTCACTTTTATTTTGGTCATTAAAATTTAAAAAAAATCAATTTAATCATTAAACTTTCAAATTACTTGTATTTTGATCTCTCTTTGTTGACATGGATTATTGTATTATAATTTTAGTATTACATGTCAAATTTATTATTATTAATGTTAAATAAAATTTAAAATCATACTCTTTAATCTTAATCCTAAATTTCAAACCCCAATGCCAATTTAAACTCATCCTTAACTTCATCTTCATGAAACAAAGAATACCCAAAAACCCAGACTAGCCCTTGTTTTTTCTTTCATTTCCTTCTCTTCCCTTGCATGAGGCAGTGCTATGATTGAGTGAAACTACACCCCAAAAAAAAAAAAACTTGCAGTTCATACCTATCTTGATCAAGTTCTTGTTCTTATTTTTCCATTCTTTTAATTTTGATTTTATGATTAGGCCCGTGAAAGTAAAAAGAGGGTAATGTTGCTTTTGTTTGGTTGGTGATCTAGTAAAAATGGTGTATCTTTATTTTGTCTGGAAAATAAGGGAAAGTGCAAGAAAATAAGTATAAATAGAAACCTAGATTTTTTGTTTTGTTTTTGTTTCATTTATCTCTTCCTTATTTAAGTTTTTTTTTTGGAACTACAACATTTTAAGAGGAAATGAGGAAGCATGGATGACAACTTCATTCTCATTCATTTCATGCGCTTTCCCTTTTATTGTTGCTATTTTTGTTTTTATATAAAAAAAATTGAGCTTTTTGTTGTTTCAATTATGGGTATTGAGCAATGTTTACATTTTTCTTAACTTGTCTTTGTGAAGGTGATGGTGGTTGATCTATTCTTAACACTTAAATTTGTTTCTCTGTATTAATTTGTTTCCGGTTCACAAATGATTTTTCAAGGGATTCTTATGTGGTGTTCGGAGGGTGATGTTGGTGGGATTGGGGTTTAGATCGATGATTGGGGTTTGAGGATTAAGGATTGGATTTAAATTATAAATTTTTATTTTAAATCTTATTTGATATTAAATATTAATTAATTTATCATGTCATACTAAAAATAATAATAATATAGTTCAAGAGGATCAAAATAGAAGCAATTCAAAAGTTTAATGATTAAATTCAAAATTTTTAAACTTTAGTTATCAAAATAGGAGTGAAAAAAATAGTTGATTATTGAACTGTATAGTTTACCCAAATATAAAAAATACCACGTCAGATGTGCCATTAACTTTCAATTTTATCAATCAAACCACCTAACTATTTAATTATTGTCAATAAAGCCACTAGTTGTTATCATTTAACGGATTAGATGAGATGGCATTTAAATATTTTGGTATTATTACACATTTGGACCCTATTATTTACATGTTTCTTAAATTTAATCTTATTTTTAATAAATTAAAATAAATTGAATATATTTATTTTCCACTAATCAAACGGTGACACGTGTCATCCTTTGGTGGAAAGAAAACAAACCAAGCAAAATTGGGGACAAAAAGATTTGATCCTAAGGTGATTAATAAATCAAGCAAACACGCAACCACTAAACCACGACCACTTCTTGGTTTAAAGTACACAACATTTAGAATATAATTTGTATCTTAGTGAATAAATACTTAACTTCAATTCATAATATTTATATATCTTTTATATTAACTAGTAACATGTGTCACCACATATGTAAACAAGAATTGGTCTTGGGTTAGTGGTTGGGTTTATGTTTGATTTCCAAATCACTCTTAGATTGAATACCTTTGTCCAATCGAATGGGGTCACTTGTCACTAGTGGCATGTGTCACGACACATGTAAATAATATGTACCAAATGTGTAATATACCAAAATATTTAACTGTCATGTCACCTAATCCGTTAAATGTTAACAACTAATGATTAATTGATAACAATTAAATAGTTAAGTAGTATGATTGATAAAATTGAAAGATTCGTGATAAAAATAAAAATGTTAAATAATTAAGTTAAAATTATATTGCATGCAATATCGATTATTTTTATTTTATTATTATGAAATGATTTATTGAATTAACCCAATTAAACAAACTTCGCCATCTACCATCATTAATTTTCCCCGCCAGCCATTAATTTACAATTAAAAAAGAACACAATAAGGCGGTCCAAGAATTCTGTAAATAGATAGCTTTTCAAAAATAGAAAACCTGACAATGGTGGAGTCGAGCTGCCATGCACCATCCATGTAAAATAAATAAGTAAAATATTGTCCACCACCATTAAACCTGTATGTGTGTATATATTCCCCGGCAGAAATTGTAGAAACGTTGCATGCCATTGCAAATAATATGCATGAATCATCTAAACTTTTATTTTTCCCCATATTTATTCAAGTAGGCAACTAGGGATGCATATTTGTATCAGTTTCTGTCAAATATCTACACAGGCTTGTACGTTTAGTTAATAATTAATTAAAAATCCTTCATAGTTTTAATTTACAAAAATTGCAAATAAAATCAACAAAGCTTAATTTAAAATTTTAACTGTTATATCCATTTTAAATTTTCTCGGTCTCGCACAATAAAATTCCTGTATAATCTATACAGACTTGTGTGATTTATTCGAGTCAAAATCATTTGGCAAGTCAACCACGTCAATAAGTCTACCTATCATGTCAGTTTACGAGTAGTCATCATTATCCAACGTTTGACACCATCACTAAATGTCAATATAAGTAAGCTCGTAGAAGGGATGGAAAATGTCAATATCATCAGTTCTCTTATTATATATAATCGACGGATCATCGACTACGTATCTCATATAAAGAAAAAACTATCTATTGGGGTTACAACGAATCTTATTCCATCCACACTAACCATCATATAGGTGTGAACCTCATCAAAATCACATGTAATTTGCTGGGAATGCTTTAAATGTTCATGAAACTCATAAAATTAGGTTTTCTCAGGCTAATTCCACGAGTTCATGAATAGGGGAATGTGGTGTCGTAATCATTGCCAAAAGAGAGTACACAAACACACATAATGTAATATGTATTATTGGGTGAAACAAATGTAAAAGCAGGTGAGTGTGGAATATGAGAAGAGAAATGAGTGCAAGAGTTGCCACTTATGGAAATCCCACTCTCAGTTTAAGTACCACTTGAGGAAGAAAAATGACTGTCTCTTTCTCTGAAATGACCCTTTGGCACTACTAACAACTCTTTGTTGGTGTTGAATTATGCTCATCTCTAAAATCAGTAACAAATTCCGACTCATTTCCATTCTTTTACCTTTAATACAAAAGGCCAACACTAGTTCTATTATGCTTTAAGAAAGCCGAAAAACCAGGGCTCTATCATTCTACATGTTGGGATTCAAATTCCCTTTTTATTAAATGGTAATTGTCAAGTTTTGATCTATATTCAAATGTTTTTTGAATTTTATCATACAGAAATAAATTAAAACACAAAAATAATGTATCACTATATATGCAAGTATTCTTCTTTAGGCATAAGTCACTTCATTGGCTAGTTTCTCTTTCCTAGAAGAAATTGATCAATCCTTTTATTGTGTAGATACCTATTTGGCTATTTCCATGGCATTGCACCACTTAAGGCTGTTAAAAAAAAGTCTGCGTATCAAAGCAGCATGATTAAAAATATATATTTAATTTTTTACTATAAAATATATCTCATTTATCGAATTAAGATGATCATAATGATCTTATGACTTACACACATTAAACATCAATAGAGATACCCCTCAACAAGACTAAAAATGAGACTAAAACCCTTCCCAATCCATCTGTCTCCTCCATTCTCCATGATTGACTCCATACGATACAAAAATATCGATCAACAGTTGTTCTCTTACTAATCTTGACTCAAATTCAATGAAACCAATTTGTTTTCATAAACAAATACATTATAAAAGAACAAAGAATAAGAAACAAACAACCAAACTTCATGTCAAGATCTCTAAACTTTAATTCCATTAATGAATCCTATGTTCTTGCCACTTGTTATTTTTCTTGTTCTTGGAACTCAAAGAATATAAAAAAATAAAAACTCAAGAAGAACCTCAACTACGGAAAGGTAGAGGGCAATTCATGAAGAAGAAAAGCCCAAATCAATATTTTGAAAAGGAGAAAGAAATGAGCCGATAGTCCCACCATTTACCAATGTTATCAGTTCTCGTTGGGGGGGCCTGGTAAATACCCAAAATCATGAATGCATGGACGAATTCTAAAATATATCGATTAACTTCCACCACAGCCTATTATGAATGGATATAAAGACTTCAGTACTAGAAATTCTGGTGCGACTCCAAAAAGTAACAAGGATTATTCTCTCCATAGAATTATTTGAACACCTCCATCATTTCAACTTAAACATACATTATTTGCACTGAATATGCTAAAAAAATGAAGTTGTGCCATATAAGATTCGATTTTTATGTCAAAATTATAGTAAGAGTATATTGCAAATGGTTCACCATTAAGCAGTTTAGTATAGTTCTATCTTTAATGGTGGTGTATAGCTGAGAGTCTAGCTTAATATAAAGGGAACAATTAAACCTTTTTTAATCTTCTCTGATGTTCCATTTTCTTAACCTCACAACCCAACTAATGGATTTGATGCTATAAATATGTGGGGGGTACTCTTTCTTTGTCCAATAAGAAGCCCTTCCAAAAGGCAAAACACCAGCAAGAGAAGAAGCATTCCTTTATATTACTCTTGGATGGCAAAACTCTCAGATCCTCTTGTTGTAGGGGGAGTGATTGGGGATGTTATTGATGCCATCTCCCCATCTGTGAAAATGACAGTCACTTTCAACTCCAACAGGCAGGTTTATAATGGCCATGAATTCTTTCCATCTTCAGTAATTAACAAGCCTAAGGTTGAGGTTCATGGTGGTAATATGAGATCCTTTTTCACCCTGGTAAAACTATACTTTTCACTAATATCTTCCTTTTGCTTCCTTAAACTTGTTTTGGTTTTCTTTCTCTTCTATAAAGTAAGTCATCATCAATCATGTTTCTAATATTGTAGGTGATGACAGACCCAGATGTTCCAGGTCCTAGTGACCCTTACCTCAGGGAGCGCTTACACTGGTAATCACCAATATATAGCTTGTAACATGTAGGCATGACAAACCATGTAGCTATTCACTATGTGTATATGACTGTTAGGGTTCATGATTTCATCAAAAAAAAAATTAAGCAATCTACTGATTGTTGGTACTTGATTGACAATCTCACAGGATAGTGACAGATATCCCCGGCACAACAGATGCCACATTTGGTAAGTATCCCTTCATTCATCAAGTATATATATAGAAAATGGACCAACTTTTATGGTTACATACAGGGAGGGAATTGGTGAACTACGAGCTGCCAAGGCCAAACATAGGGATCCACAGGTTCGTGTTCCTCCTGTTTAAGCAGAAGCGCAGGCAAACCGTGCAGGCTATACCATCATCAAGGGATCGTTTCAACACCAGAAAGTTTGCAGAAGAGAATGAGCTGGGGGTTCCTGTTGCAGCTGTCTATTTCAATGCTCAAAGAGAAACAGCTGCTAGAAGACGCTAAAAAAAAAGTGGCTCACGCCCAAAGATCAATGATGCTCAACCTTCCACATTGTACCACCATTAAAAGACATGTAATAGCAGTAGTACTGGTAGTAGCGCCTAATGTGGCTAAAGAATAAACTTCTGGTGGGGGGCATTTCTTAGGAAATGTTTAGCCCTAAAGGACTATCAGTTTAAGGTTATGTTCAAGCCATTAAGTAATTTATGTTTTTCTTCTATAATTATGCAAATTTCAAAACAACCCAGATTAATATTTTGGGCAAATTCATGTTTCTTTAGGCTTTGATACATGTCTTGACAGTCTATTATTACTAGGCTCTGCCAATTTTTTACCTACAAAACCTCAGTTTAAATTCCATTCTCTCGTCAAGACTGGCACTTTTTCTCTCTTCTGGTTAGCTTTGTAAGTATATTTCAAGCCCAACATATTTGACTTAATTCTAGTAAGATTTACTATTAATCATTTTGGTATGTTCTTGAAAGGGGTGATGGACGTACGGGATCTACTGCAAAACAGTCATTTTCCTTTGAACATCACTTCACTTTTATATTATATTTAAATCCCAAAGATGGAAGAACCACTTTACTTTGTTTTAACTGAAGAACAATGAACAGACTGAAATCTGCAGATAAACCTCTTTTTCTTTTCCATATTAAGAACTAGAAATTTAACCACATGAGCAGTAATTCAAGGCCACAGTTTTACCTACTAAGAGAAACTCTTATGTTTCCGTTTTTATTTTCTTTTGATAACTCCCCATGTGGGGGCATGGCGAGTTTTATCATGTTGACAACCCCTGCAAATGTTATCTCAAGGTAGTAATTTATCATGTTCTTCCCAAATGAAAATTATGAAAAGAATATTTACAAGTTTACTGCAGAATAATCAATCATGTGATGAATTCTCATTTTATCACTTGGTTTTTATTGCAAGGTTTTGGAATAACCACTTTATATACACTTTGACCGAAGAACAAAAACCCAGTACTTGAGAGAAATTGCAGGAAAAATAAAGCCAGAAAGTGGGAGCAAACCTAGCTTTTCAATTTTCTCTTTGTTATACCTACGGAGATATCATCAGGAAATAAACAATATTTCTATGCATGATTTATCCGATGTCTCATACTTCGAGATGTCTACAACTGTACCATTAGACTTATGACAGTCTCATGTGATTTAATAAAATCAAACATGTTTCAATAATTGTAACTATCGAGTTTAAATTAACCTACAAATAGTCATCATCAAATCTGTATTTATTATTATTTGTTCCACTGCATTTGAGTTCTCCTATTATCATTTGGTCTGTATTGTAAATCTGGAGTAAAACTTGAAGAACCGCTTTACATAGACATTAACTGAAGAACAAAGAAGCCGACTGAAACTGCAGAAAAGATCATTTGCAGCTGCCAGATGAGAAACCCTCTTTTCCTTTTCTTTTTCTTCAAAGTTCTGGCATAGCGAGAGGGCAACTTAGTTTTTTTTTTCTTTTTCTTTATCATGTTCGAGCCAAGACACACAAATTTTACTAGAATCGAAGAGATGTGAAGTAGGCTTTTTGGTTGTATGGTGTTCTTCAGAAAAACAGGAGAAAAGATCTTGAATATCACACGAGTTGGTCTACATAGCAAAACCCACCTTGTTTATCAATTATCTGAAGAGCAAGAACCAAGTGGTTCAGTGTTAGATAATGTAAAGTGACTAAAACAATTCATTGAAAGGAGAAAAACAGCCGCAGTTCGTATTCAGCAGCTATGACATGCATAGCTATGACACCTATAATATTTGTAAATCGAATTTCATCAAATTCATGTTTTTATTTTCTCTTCTCTTCTTACCCGTTTAAGATCCAAAACTCCATCCCACGAACGCCACTGGATGATAAGATCTAAGACTACTGGATCATGACAGCCACTGGTTGTCCCTTGGTAATTTTTCATGTGATAACTGCATACTATTCTGCAGGAAAATTGGTGAAATTATTTGGCAATAACTTTGTGCTGGAAACTGTAAAGTTGGCGAGTTTTTAGGGTTCCATTGTCTGGTTGCCGGAGACTATTGCATAATGATGTTTAGTGCTAACTTTAGTCACCCATCTAGAAATATTTAATATTTTTTAAGATGAACATATATATTAACAACAAAGTTTTTTGATAATTAATAATATTAATAAAATGAATAATTAACAGAAATAAATTCAATCTCGTAGTAAACACTTACCTAACCTTTACCACACTTTCATTCACAAGTGACTCTTTTACTATACAAAAAGAAATTTGAATGTCATGGTAAACACTTACTCATCTTATATCACGCTTTCATCCACAGCTGACTAGTTTACACGATCAAAATTTATTTTCTTTGATATAATAATATTTTTTTATGAATTTATAGATACACTCATGAAGTAATCAATCTCAAATTATATTTATCAAATATTATAAGCATGTGTCAAATTATTTAATTGAAAAGGAATGATCAAAATTTAAATTGGTCGAGTTGGCGAATTAGTCGAGTTAGGGTGTCATATTTTATAACTCAAATTTTATTTTAATTTTTTTTTGAGTGGAGTCATGTCAAATCAAATTGTTTGAGTTTTTATTTAAATTTAATTATGTATGTACAATTTGCGATATTAATTGATTTCAATTTAAATGATTTTTTATAATCATATACAATCTATTTTTTGTACATAAAAGTTTAGGTCAATGGTGACTCTCTAGTCCAGGGCAATGCATATTTAAGACTCAATTGACATTTACATACGAATTTATAGATTATCCACCAAGAGTGACGGTGGTAGGATTCAAACTTGACCTTATAAGCTCAAATTTCTGAATCTTAACCACTTGTGCCAACACTTATTGGCATAATCATTTACGATATTCATATATATATCTTCATGTTTTTTCATATGTGATATACATATAATATGCAGAGTTAAGGGAGTCGACTCGAGGTAAAAATTTCAAGTTGAGTATTTTTAGCATCGAATCAAACCAAAAATTTAATATTTTTGAGTTGAGTCGAATTTTATCCTCTCAATATATATATATATATATATATATATATATATATATATAATTTAAGTATAAATCAATTCTATCAAGTTGGATAAAACCACAAAAATAACAAAATTTTATCATCAAATATTTAATGTTGTAACGTTCCCAACGACTTAATCTTAAAATGTTGGTCAATTAAGCTTGTGATGTAACGACAAAGTACATCACTTTAATTTTGGTCGACATTAGATCATGTGTTTAATTTCACACATCCTTTCTTCTCTTCCTTTTACAAATCTATTAGTTTGAGATGCTTTGAAAATTTTATCTCTTTACTTTAAAGTTAATTCTACAATGATAAAAAAATTATTAATTATCGAATGATAAAAAATATTCGTATTATTTTATTCTGTGTGAGTTTAAATTTTAATATTTATTTTGAAAACAAAATATCTCTATATTTAATAAAAATATTATAAAGAGAAAGTGCCAGACTTTTGGACACATCTTTAGCAGGGGATACTATGTCAATCATCGCATTTGTAAGAGAAGAATATTTTACACTTATTATGATCGTATTTATTTATTTTTTAATAATTTAAGATGATTGTAAGATTATATATGTTCAGAATTTTTCTTGATCATTAATAACATATATATATATATATATATATACTCGTAAACGTTAGACTAAGACCTCTAAAAAGAATTATATTTCCTTTAACTTTTGAATTGATTTGACGGATTCATTACGCTCACATTTATAAGATAAAAATATTTGCACTCAAAAGAATAACAATAAATAATGTGGTACAATCTCGTAAACATGTTTTACAAAGGGATTTATGTATCCATTATACCCATAAAGGTCATATAATATATATTCTCGTCCTTGCGTATCTTACTAACCTTAACTGAGAATGCCCTTTAGATCTTAAATGATCGACTTTGAAAGCGAACTTTACGACATCAGCTGTGTATAATAAATTAACCTAGCTAGGCAGAATTCAAGGCTAATTTACTCAAATATCATTCATATTTTTTTTTATTAAATTGACACTTATTTTTTATGGCTAAAGTATACAAATGTTATCGACTATAAGATATTACTTTGTTGAGCCTCTAGTTATAGGGTATTATTTTGTTGAATACCTAACTATTAAAAGTTACATAATGGTCTCCCAACTATTCAGATGTTTCAAACTCGTCATTTTTTTGTTAAAAAATTGGCGATAGTCTGAGTTGAACATTAACTTGTTGACTGAGATATGATATGTTGTTTGAGACTTTGGGATCAGATTTTATCACATCACGATCAGTATGTTAACATCCTACTTAGTTTTTCGTCAATTTTTTAATAGAAAATGATGAGTTTGGAATATATGGATAACCGATGATTATTTTGTAACTTTTAATTGTCAATAGACTTAATAAAACAATGCACTATAGTTGAGGGACGGGACAAAGTGTCACCCTATAGCCGAGGACCATTTTTGCACTTTACCCTTTTTTTATTAATTCTTAAAATGATATTATTTTACTAATTGATCGCACTGTTTAAACAAACACACACTCATTCAATCATTTATCTTACAAAATCACTTTTAACAAAATGCTTCTCATAACCTTAATATTAAAGGTCTCGGGGATTGCGCATGTCTAATTCAATAGTTTAGTCTTGTGTTTGATTATCTATAGGGACATTTTTTAAAAAAGAAAATTCAAATGCACTTTCAGATAAATTTTTAAGTATGCCAAAGCTCCATATACAAAAATTTCAAAATCTAAATTTTAGTCCATATGCTTTGATTTTGTGACATTGAGCTTCTTTATTATTTTTATTTGAAAATATTGATCTCTCCATTAATTTTTTGTTCAATTTCATCTTTAATTATTGTTCTAGCAATTTCAAAACTTAAAATTTAATCATCGTACTTTAATTTTATGACAGTAATAATTATTAAAAAAGTAAAATATTTTTTAATCTCATACGTCTATAATCTTTTATTAATTCGTTCCTTAATATTAAAAACTGCATAAAAATATCTTTAATGTAATAATAAGACTTTTTAATTTCTAGGTTTACAATTTTTAAGAGTCAAAATAATAAAAAAATGTAAATATATATAACTAACAAGTAGTTGCATCTTTTTATAACTCCTAGATTAAAAGT